AAGGGGGAAGGCGTGGGAAGGGGGGAGGCGGGGTAAAGGAGGAGGTGGGGGTGGATGAGAGGCAGTTCTATTTATTATTTATACCACCATAATTTCAAGCTGCCTTTTTAACTACGTTTTGTCTTGCAGTTGTTTCTTTATGGTTACGAATTCACGGAACAGATGCAGTGCCCTGGGTGCTTATTGCCGCTCAGGTCACGATGATACTTTAAAGAATGGAATATAGTAAAGATAAAGGTGAAATATGCAAGGATCGGGGTGAAGGGCCTTGGTCACAATTTTGTTGCTATTCCGACAGAGGTTATGGTAATATTTATTTATATTCCACCCATCCTTTGCTTAATAAATATTTGTGATAATATGCAATATTATATAATTATATACTTATGTTAAAAAGAGTGGAGTGAAAAAGTTATCGGTATTGTAAAATAGTAATCAGACTTAATCTAGGTGACTGTTCCAATTCTTCCTAGTTCGTGTTTAAACACCCCACTACAATATGCAAGCTTCATATATTTTGGAGTGTGCTCAGTTAGTTAATATTGTGTGCTGAACATCATGAGCATTTCAATGATGGTAACAATTGTAACTATAATTATATTGTGTTACAAGACAACACACTCCACGATGTGACATACAGATCATTGTATACCACACAATACATAATTTGTGGCTCTTAAGTTACTTTGTTATGAATTTTCATGAGATATGGTCAAGACATCATTATGGACATGGATTTAAGATAACACTGTAGGCGAGTTAATATATATTAATCGTATTTACAAACAAGACTAAAATCCAAACAATACACCAATACACACATCTTAGTATTTGGTCCAGCCACCCATTGCATTCAGGACTTCATCAAGGCGATTAGGGGTGGAGCCGACCAGCTTCAGGCACACCCCTGGTCGTCGACGTATACTCTCCCACACGTCGTAAGCTATGGCCCCTATTGCTGCACAGGTTCGCTGCTCCCCAATATCCCAATCACGTTTCATCATGGCCCAAATATGTTCCATCGGATTAATATCACATCCTAGTGTTGGCCAGTCGATGACCTCAATTTCAGGGTGATCCTGGAGGTAGTCCTTCGACTATGTTGCTGGTATGAATGGGACTGTTGTCATGAACCAGCCTGATAGTGTGGGGGTTGGAACTGCCATAGCCCGGACTGTAGGAATTAGCACTTGCTCCAGGATGTCTACATACTGCTCACCAGTGAAACGGCCATTGATCTTGACCAGTTCACTTGGCCCATGTGCCCACATCCACCCCCAGAATGACACTGACACCCTACCACTCACTGCGCGATGTTGAATGTGTTTCTCATGGTAGCGTGTGTTGGGGGGCCGCCAGCACTGCCTTGCTTCGGCTCCCACTGACCTGAACACCGTTTCATCGGTAAATATAATGATTGTCCAATATTCTTCTCTATGTGGAAGGTGTTCCAATGCAAAGCCGAGCCGACACTCCTTGTGAGTAGGTGTTCGCCACCCTTTGTGAGCTGGAATATGGCAGTCGACCCCGGCTTCATGAAGTCAGCGTCTCGTTGTCATGTGATGGCAATTAAGGCCCAGATTTCTTGTATGCTCCACTGATGTTCGCATTGGATATGCTGTAGCAGCTGTCACGATCATGGCGTCCATCCTTGCCGCCGTTACTCGTGGCCTCCCGCTTCGAGGTTTCGTCTCCACTGAGCCCTCTTCCTCCCACCGGCGGATCCACCTCCTAATCGTCTTGGTGCTCCTTCCCACTTCGACAGCATTGTTCTGCACACTTGCCCCGGCTCTCCACATCCCGATGATTTGGCCTCGCTCAGCAATCACTGCTGACGAACTTGCTCGTCCTGCAGGAAAATCTGAAATGGCAGAGTAATATTATGTTGTGGTAACTGATGCAGGCTTTTATATACTACAGTAAATTAATGGTATTAGCAACACCTAGGTTAAGTATTATTACTCTGAAATAACGTTTTGGTAAATCTTTTTGGATCAACTGCCGAAAAAACCCTTCCTATTTCATGTATTCATAGTGAACTGCAAGTGGATCCCCCCCCCCCAACCTCCACCACCACCCCTGCGACTGTAGAGTGAACATTCGCCGATAATCTTCACCATCATCAAGATTTAGTTTAACCAGACAACTGACACCCATTTGAGTCTTTCCTAGGGCTGGCCAGAAGGATTAGTTAACATATATTTGTGTTTCTATAATTTAGTGTTATATTGTTTGGAGGAGATTACAGTATTTCAAAAAGGTCAAAACTGAACTTAGGGAAAATTTTGGGGTCTCTGCTATAATATTTTACGTTGTAGGGTTAGTGAAGCACATTGTTCGATACCTATTATAAATAGGGCATTCAATGAGAATATGTTGGACTGTTATTTGTGTTCGGCAGTTGGATCATAAAGGTGGGGCTCCATTAGGGGAAGACATGAGTTGGCCATGCGTCAATCGCGTATGCCCAATTCTTAGACGATTCAGAATAGTTTCGTGATGTCGAGAGGATTGTTTTGATGATGACCAAGGAAAAACATGATTTGATCATTTTAGCTTATGACTTGTTGGTTCAATTTCCCATGACTTTTGCCAATCGTCAAATAAAAATTGTTTATAGGTAGTTAGCCTCGCCGATAATCAAAATATGGTTTTCCACTGCTTTACATATTTCTGACAATTTTCAGCTATGACATGTTCGTCCCAGATTACATATAACTAATAGGTTACATTACATTAGGGTTCGTTATATAAAAACGTTTTTCTTGTTCATCTAGTCGTTCTGAATTCCATTTCTGCTCAAAATACTATAATACCCAACCCAAACTCCCAAGTTGCAACTGGGGGTGTAACATAACCGAGTAAGGTAACGTGCGGCAAATATGACCACCAAACGCATAGCACATCAAACACCATATTTTTATGGTGAAGTTACCTGAGGAGCCCATATAACAAATGTCATTATTATAATAGGGTGTCCCACTAATTACAGCAGATATTTGTAGAGGTGAAAGAATGATTCCGAGTATAAAACTTCTATACATACATGGATTTTTCGGTTTACGTTTAGCCGTGAGGTGGATTTTACAAATTACGCAAGGCAACCATTACAAATAGCGGAGTCGAGGCGGGAGATACTGATAGCGAAATATAGGAAAGAGGGGGAAGAAGGTTTAGTAGTGAAAGAGTGGGTTAAACGGAACAGACTTTTAGGAGGAGAGAAAGTGTGGCCTTCCACCCACTGCATGGATATTGGGTGGTAGGTCGGGGTGACTGGGGCAATGGGAGGGAGGGAAAGGATGTGGAGAAAATAAGGCGAAAGGAAATGGAGGGCCCATCCCTATTTGGGTGGGGTGCACCTCGTCTTTAATTTGTTTGGAGTGCCCATTCACTTTTTATTAGAGGGAAACGGATGGAGATAGAGACGTGGTGGTTATGCTTTTAGGTTGGGGTGTGGCCATGGGATATTTTTTTTTTCCACATCTTAATCCAGCTCAAGTTTCGTGGGATTGACCTTTGTTGTAAAGGTTTTAACTCTAAATACAAGGGGGAGGAGCCATGTCGTCGGTTCTGCGAGTGTTCATTACAGTAGCCCAAATCGTCGCCATGGGTAGAATAGGGGGAAGGGAATGTAATGTGATGGGTTGGAATGTTCGATGGATGTTAGTCTTGGGGGAGGGATGAAGGGAAGAGGTGGAGTGAGGGGATAGGGAGTGAATAAGCAGTCGATTAGTGTTTAGGTGTGAATCCACGATGCTCAAATTAGGTTTAATAGTTGGGTGGGTAGAGGCGGGAGGAGGCTAGGCGCGGAGTTGGAACTCGTGAACTTTTGTTGTTTAATGCAAGTATCTTCAAACGGGTTTTCATGCTATTAATAGGCCTTATGTAATCTACCAATAAGGATTACAACAGCACACAGTATGGCTGCAATTGGTAAGAAAAATAAAATATAACCTGGCAAAATTTTTGCCCTGCATAATTTTTACAAGCCACCTCACGCCTAAGGTAAACCGAAAAATGCTTGTGTATAGAAGATTCAACCCTCACATTCTTTCCCCTCTACAAATATCTGCTGTCACTCATGGGACACCCTGCAATAGTACAAGGACGACATGGGCTATGCTGACAAATTGTGACTTGCCTGTTGGTGACGATGGTAGGTAGACCACGGCAGGTTTCAGTGCTCGACATCACCTCCTTCCCCTGGTGTGGGTGGCGCCAACCTTGGTAACAACTGGTGGATTCTCCGTGACTACCATTACTGGTAGTCAAGGAGAATTAATTACTGGTGTGCCCATCAGTCGCAAGCATGAACGGCAGAGATATGGTCGTTGTTGTGCTATTATTTACCCGTCTCTCACCATGCTAAATAATATTCACTACCTTCATGACATTCTTGTTGTTAGCGATTGCAGAATTCACGATGTTATGCTCCACCTACACAGCCTGTTACTAGACTAACCCCCACCTCAATCCCCACACACTACAGTGGGCGACATCTGTTGGCCGACCATTGCATTTTCCCCAGCCTTTTCGAAACTTCACTCAAGGCAATACGAACCCTCACTGTGGATGGGTAGTGGACATGACTTTGGTGCACGTTATCATTTGATTAATTTTCTATACCTGGTGAAAGAAGGAAATCATCATCCACGAAAAAAATTATTCGCTCTGGACGGCTATGGTCAGAACAGAGTTGACCAACACATATTTCTAACGAGGATTTACAAATTCTGCAAGCCTTAACACGATACAGAAACACGGGCTTAAGTTGTCAAGCGAGTCTGATAGCCGTACGACAAGCGAGTCCAGCAATCTTATAAACTCAACGAGACCACTATTCTGACCTTTCATGCGTGCTGCGACCGTGTTTCAGAACCATTTTAGTGTTGTATAGTAATCGGTATATCGAAGATGCCTCCGATATTTAGCGATTTTTAAGTAGCGTTATTTGTAGTAGTTAACCCATACGCTGGTAAATAAGAGTTAATGGTCCTCAAGAAAACTTTATTGACACAAAGTCCATAACATTCTTCCCAGTCATTAACAAAATACATATTCAAGTGAACAGAATTACTGCCTGTAGTACTCTAGTGTCTCACAGATTACAGGTCGGAGAGTATTGCAGAGGGAGTCATGCCACCCGACGCCAAAATCGTTAACCACCGCCAGGCACTGCTCGTTGCCGTCTGCGTTATCGGGTTGACTTCTACCAAGCCTGGCCATGAAAAGAGAAAAGTGAATCAAGATATACGCAAGCCCTGGATACATTCCTTACAGTGGTGTCTAGAAAAACTTAGTTATAGTAGTTCGTAAGCAACTGTAGTAGATTCAAGTAGTTAAGTAGTACTTTGCAAGAAGTGTATTTCTTTACACAAAATAAATGCGTGCAATTAAGGCTTAAGCTAACCTGCCGGTGTTAGACCAGTTTGTGTAGCCCGTAGACACACCACTCTGCCAGGACCACTGGTTATAGCCGTGTGCGCTGCCGCTTGTCCATATGTCCCCGATCTGGTCTGTAGAAATTTACATTTAATACGTTAAATTCTAAGGTTGATTATGAACTAGTATCTCACGAAAACTACGATCGATAGTACATTAACAGATACACCACTTCAATGTTATATACATTAACAGTCATGGAACACTCACAAGTTCTCATGACTCCAGCCACGAAAGAATCTTCGTTCGGGTGCTCTATACTGATGGCCTGGAAACCGTTACCCAGCCTCTGACAATGATAGCTGGCATCGTTCCATGTGTAGGAGCGGCCGCCATCATGGCACCAGGAGAAGTGATATGCTCTACCCTGGAACACCTCGTCCACCTGAGGGAAGATGAGTTGTGCAGAACATAAAGGGAAGAGGACCTTTAGAGTTTAAAAACAGCAAGACCACTGGCGGGATAAGGTATTACAGTATAATCGCAAGTCAATGTAAATATTAATTCTCAAAACTAAATTACTAAATGCATACTTTAGAACTTACTACAGGTCTGCGAGCATGATCACAATACCGGTTTTGTGGCAAGACGGTCTGCTGGGTAAAGAATGAGGAAGATTGACTTGAATGGAAGAGTCTTCCTGGCTGCTGGTCCTGTGTAACCTGGCCCGAGGAGAAGACTAGTCGCGATTGTTGGCGTTCCGAAACCTGGCTTGTGGAGAAAACTTTCCCTGGCTGACTGCCCTGCGAAATCTGATCCGAGGAGAAGACTTGACCGGACTGCTGGCCCTGCGAAGTTTGACCTGAAGAACGTCGAGAAGAGCTTGGGGACATTACCAACTCAGCCTGTGACTTAGCCAGGTTTGGGTCACCATCGCGTCCCACACCAAAAACAATGGGTGTTCCGTCGTTCATTACGTAGTATTGTGCCCAGGCGACAGTGATCACCATCATGAGGATTAATGACTTCATCTGGTGAAATAAGAGAACGGGATTGTCAAATAAATTATATAGAACCTGGTCGTCAATTTACATGTTAAAGTTTAATATTTTATTATAGAACATAGTACCTATTATTAGAAACTGAAAAATATTTTTCAATTTATAACGTACAGGTGTCAAGACATTACTATAAAAGTTTTATTTTAGATTACTGCATGCCTAAATGTGTGCTCTAAGCGTTTGCACACCCAATTGCTGCCCAAAATTGTATAATTCAACGGCATACATTAGTTAAGATAAAACATGCATAACCATCGAGAAAGTATTTTCTAAATAAAATTAAATCCAGATATCATTTGTATGAATAAACTGAAAACATACTTATAAACCACAGCAAAAAAAACGCCAGACTTTAACACAAAGAAATGAAATTAAAACAAATCTTACCATATCCATTATTGCAGAACCAGTGGAAGGAAGCACACTGAAGACACAAGGCAAGAGCCGCCCCTTTTATACGGTCGACAATGGTGCTTATTGGCTGAATGTTTAGAAAAGAAAGCTCTCATTGGCTAATATTTGGAGCAGCGACCATAACAACCAAGGTAGCAATCTCTGTAGTCTAGGTGCCGTACACTCAACCCCACCTTAGAGACGAGTCTAAATTATCTTACCCAAATACTTCTCTTGTGTTGTATTATGTAGTGAACAGATCCCTTAGGTCATTGATGAGTCTGTAGCACAAAGTTATACTTAGTTCCTATTATCTAGATACGCGTTATAACTCGTATTTGAACACTGAATAAATAGTTACATCAGTATGTGGTGTGTGTGTGTGTGTTAAAACTTATAAGAATTAAAATGTTAATGTCCTTATCTTGGTATTAAAATGGTGTTGGTGTTGCCTTGAGACGTGGAAATAAAGATTCACACATTATACGACGATGCCTCTCTCCACCCCTACTGTACCTGCCCTACCACACCATATTACCTCCACCCCCACCCTCCTTGTGGGGGACCTCAATGCCCGACCCCCCAGTCTCGGCTCCCAGGGGCCCCACTCAAACTCCAGGGAAACTCCTGGCTCTCCTACCTACAAACCACTGATGATCCTGTACGTCTTCTCTGCCCTCCATCACCCACCCACATCGGTGAAGGGAAACTTGACCATATCGCTCTTTACTCTGACCCTCACCGCCCACACTCCACCCGCATCCTCCACTCCCCCCCACAGTAGGGTGTCATAGGAGGGAAGATCAGCTAAAACTAATGACCCATCACTTTTTTGGTAGATTTTAGTGTATATAAACAGAAAATAATTCAGTTTCAATATTTTGCAACCTTTTGCTAGGTAAATTTTAGCGTGAAATTTATCGAAAATCTAACGTACAGCTGCATTAGTGCATTACAATTAAATAGTGAACATTGCTTTCTGACTTCATTCTTTAACAACCCAACTAACAATATTTTTTTCTGTTTCAGATTCTGATGCATTTATAAGTTGATAATATTTGCGATGGCTGCTTGTGTCAGGACGAGGAACCAAAAATCCAGCCATCTCAGTCACTATCTTGGGTCTGGGAGAGAGCTCCTGAAGTCGGAGTTGCCTACATTGAGAGATGCTTTGAGATACGGTGTTTTAATCAGGCAAATCAGTGAAAAGAACCAAAGAACTTACACAAACAAAGACATTGCCAGTGATATGACCAAAGCTGTCTTGGCACAGTACACTCTGGCTAACGCTCAGTTCAAACCTCCAGTCATAACAAGTCAGAAGAAGATTAGTGAGAGACTGCTAGCCAGTTGGGAAAAGGCAAGAGATATCTCTCTTGGGAGAGGAAAACTTGCAGTTAAGGACAGCTTTGCCAAGCAACTGGACCAGTTATTTGACATAATTACTTGCAAGTGCCCAATTGTTCTCTGTCCTGAGTTTGGATGCGATCGTGACTGTAAATCCGAGGCCCACATCTCCTGTATTTGCAAGCGTGAACTGAAGATTCCTGTGATCGAACTGGCATTTGTCAAAGCACAGAGAGAGAAGACTGGCAGTATATGGGCTCTCATGATTTCTAGCCAAGATATTCCGGAGTCCAAGAGACAGGAGGCTGCCACAGAGAGACAGAAGAGGAGAAGAGTTGCCGAGGAAAAGAGACTTGAGAAGGCCCAGGGTGAGGTGAAAAAGGCCGATGATTGGAGTCAAGCTGATTCAGAGTTTAATGACTTCCCCGTGGCTGATCCGAGTGCTGACCAGGAGAATGGTGACTTTGTCCCTAACCCAGAAAATAATGATCCCAAACCTCCCAGGCATAAGATTCGAAATAGGAAAGATATCCCGAGCATAGCTCTGGCCAGCATGCGACACCACACTGGTCTCAGAGAAACTGCAGAGATAGCAACAGCTGCCTGGAGTTGACGGTGGTTTGATAACACCTGATGATGTTCACCTGGTGATAGATCATAACAAAGTAAGGAGAGCTCAGGAGAAACTTGTCAGTAACCTAGAAGAGGAGTTTGATAAGGGGATAAGAGAAAATGGAATCAATTGTTTGTTCTTTGATGGGAGAAGGGATGACACTAAAGTGTTCATGAAAGTTGGAGATTCTGACAAGTTGTTCCCTGCCATGGTGAAGGAGGAACACTACTCCTGCTGCAGTGAACCAGGAGGGAAGTATTTGTGGCATTTCACTCCAGAGAAAGATGACATCAGGAAACCAGCTGAGATAGTGGCAGATAACATTGTGAACTGGCTCAGAGAGAGGAACGTAGACCAGACCCTGCAGGCCATTGGAGGGGACAGCACCAACACGAACACAGGGTGGCAAGGGGGGTCATACAGTGGATAGAGCGGAAGATTGGGAGGAAGCTGGTCTGGATTGTTTGTGACCTCCACACCAACGAGTTGCCACTCAGACATCTGATCCAGGAGCTGGATGGCAAGACTCTTTCAAACAACAGATGGTCTGGTCCTCTTGGCAAGATGCTGGACTCTGCCACTGAGTTAGAAATAAATCCGAGCTTTGAAAAATCACAGTTGGCCCTCCACTCGTTGAGCTTGCACATACTGTCATTGACGACCTGAGTACTGACCAGTACTATGGTTACATGATTTGCAGTGCCATCAAAACTGGGGTCATGCCTGATAGACTTGCTTACCTGCAGATAGGTCCAGTCTCACATTCTAGGTGGCTCACAACGGCTCTCAGGTTCTGCAGAATTTGGGTCGCTCATCATAAACTGAAAGGGAACCAGCTTCACAACCTGAGACTTATTGTCCAATTCATCGTGAGTGTCTACTTGCCAAATTGGTTCAACACCAAGGTCAAGTCATCGTTCTCCGAAAGTCCGAGGCATGTTCTCTTCCAGCTTGAGCTCCTGAGGAGTCAGCCAAGGAAGGTTGTTCAGACTGTGGAGCAGACTGTGAGGAGATCTTCCTGGTATGCTCATCCCGAGGCAGTTCTGCAGACAATGCTCTGCAGTAAGGATGAGGAGGAGAGAAGAGTGGCAGTCAAAAAGATCTTGGATATGAGACTTATGAGAGGATCTGGGCATGACGAATCAGTTGGTGACGATTCCTTCAGGGTCAGGAAGACTCCTGAAGTCAATCTAGGTGCCAAGACCCTCACTGATCTCATAGATCTGGATAACATCCAGGCTGGCAGTGAGCCCCCTCTTACCTGCAGCCTCACCAATGTTCAAGTCAAAGCTTTCCTGGACAACCCCATGCATGTCCCTGCCTGGCCCTCGCACACCCAGAGTATAGAGCGTTGTGTACAGCAAGTGAGCGAGGCCAGCAGTCACGTGTACAGCCAGGAGAGGAGGGAAGGCTACATCCGAGCTCAGGTGGTCAGCAGGGAGGTGATGAGTAGAAACAGAAGCAAGAAAGACATGTTCTCTATGGTGTGCAGCAACACCGGGTCGTAGTAGTAAAACCGGTTTTTGTATTTGATGATTTTGTTTTCTAAAGGAATATTAAATTTAATAAATGTGTCAAGATCATTCGTTTCACTATTCTGGATCATTTTCATCCTAATAAATTAACCTGATACATTTACTTTACTTTAAATAAGCTATTTAGTGGTGTTGGTAAAAGGGTGGGAATACTGAATTTTCATAAGATTTCAAGTTAAAATTTACCTAGCAAAAAATAAAAACTTGTCAAATCTGAAGCTATCACATGATTCTGCACATAGAACTACATCATTAATACCATGGGCCGATTTTTCAAACTCAAAAAAAAAAAATTCGCCTCCGTATGACACACCCTACCCCCACAGTGACCATTTCCCTATCGACACTACCCTCCAGTACGTGAGAATACCCGCTCCACCCAAAGGTCCTAGGCTCAGCCTACCCCCTGCCAACATACCTGCCTTCATCACTACCATTGCTGAATGGTTTCAGGGTTACACTGTCACCACCGCAGACCAACTCTACCTTGATCTGTCCAAACGATGCACTGACCTCCTCCGCCCTGTCCCAAAACACCGCCGCCCTAACCGCCAGCCCAGGAGTCAGTGGAACGTTAATCGTGATCCTCATGTTAAGTCTATCCGAGTATGGCACCGACTAGCAGTCGACCAGTGGAAGAAATCTCCCAGCTCCCCTGACGCTCTACGCTTCCTCATGCGCACAAATAGAGCTCCAATCTGCCATCACTCTTGCACGAGAGAAGCAGTGGTTTGATTTTGCTTCTTCTATTGACCAGTCTACATCTATAGGTGAAATATGGCGCACCATTAACCGTGCCCGGGGCACCAAAGCTAGACCCGCGCTCCACCCAGACCAGCTGCCCGAGCTGAGGCGCTCTCCCAGACGTGGCAGGAGGCCGCCTCCATTGATGCGCTACCACCCGCTGTACGAGACCTCACCCTGGCGCTGCAACCACAACGCCGACAGCGCATCTTCGAGTACCAAGAGATATCTGCAGACACTGACGTGCCTTTCACACAGTGTAAACTACTAAATGCTGCTAAGCGTGGTCGGTCCACCGCCCCTGGCGATGACGGCGTCACATATGATGTGCTAAATGCCCTAATTGCCACCCCTGGTAACCCCCTCCTCTGTCTATTTAACCTCTCTTTTGATACTGGTCAGCTGCCTCACTTATGGAAGACAGCCACCACCATCCCAGTCCCTAAACCAGGCAGACAAGATAAATATCGTCCAATATCCCTCATCTCCTGCTTCTAAAAGATGATGGAGCGCATGCAACGCCACCGCTTCCGCTGGAAAATTGAAGCCCACCTGCACCCTGACCTCTATGGTTTCCGCCCCGGAAAGAGCACTTCTCACTGCATCGCTCACTACAAGGCAAACATCTCAGCCAAAACCTCCCTCTTCGTCGACTTCAAGGGTGCTTTTGATAAAGCCAACAGTGAAGTGATCCTTGAGGGCCTCACTCACATGGATGTGAAGGGCAAACTCCTCACGTGGATTGCTGGCTACCTCTCCCATCGACAGGCCCGGCTCCGTTT